CCTTATCATCATATCGGTCGTTAACTGTCCACTGCTGAACATAAGCCTTCGCTACAAGGGAGATTTTGCCAGTATTTGCCACGATTGGTAGACCACCGTAACTGCAGTTAGGATGTTTTAAGAATAACGCTGATGGCTGTTGCCCATTCCTCCACTATAAACTTCCGTAGTTATCTCTTACGACACCCACGGAAAAGGAAGGGGTAGCCTATTCTGTGCCAGGACATATACGGCTGAATTATTGGACATTAGCAGACTGTATTATGTTTTTTTTTTTATACAACTTAGAATGGCAAACAAGCTGACGGCCCACCTGATGTAAAGTGGTAACCGTCGCCTATAGACATTAGCAGTACCATGGACATAACAGAGTATACTGTTTCGCCCATGATACCCCCCATGCGTTGCTATTCCTGAGGAATCAGGTGTTATTCCTCTGTGCTCAGTAAATTCACGCCATATCCCACCCTTCAAACCGAAACACAACCATTCAAACAATACTGCTTCACGGTTGAAACACGAATGGGACAGAGGTATTCAAGCAATCGACTTTTGTATAAAGTCTCCCTCTGGTGATTCAATTATTTCAATTATTTATTCAATCAATTCAATTATTCATTTATGTACATATTTATTAACTTCTGTGAGACAGACCAAGTACAGACCACTTATATTTTTTATAGTTTTCTTTATATAATATTATTATCTACCAAATTCAATAACATACTTCTCTTAAAGGCATATATTATTAGTGTTTTATAATTGCTTGTGTATTTATATTGTTGATTTTATTACTTTTTTCACTATTTCAATTTTATATTCCTTCTTATATTAATACCGCCCACTATGTACTTTTTATTATAACTTCGCCTAGTGTGGGGCCCATTGTATCTTGTTTTTTTGTCAAATAAAATAAATAAATAAATAAAATAAAATAAATAAAATAAATAAAATAAATAAAATAAATAAAATAAATAAAATAAATAAAATAAATAAAATAAATAAAATAAATAAAATAAATAAAATAAATAAAATAAATAAAATAAATAAAATAAATAAAATAAATAAAATAAATAAAATAAATAAATAAATAAACTTTTTTAAGTTTCCTTAATTAATATACATATATTTTTGATTTCCATTCGTGGTTTTCTTTGTCGCCCACACAGATTGTAACTTACTCACTCCAATTACGAATTAATTTCATATTTTGTTTGTAAAAACATTCAAATGCCCGGAGGCCAGAAAGGCCCGGTTAATATTGCGTCCAATCCAACCCTTCTTAATTATTTGAGGGTCGTGCCATAGAAGTCATTGCTAAGAAATTACTCAAGTTTCTGAAGAGCCCCGTATCATAGAAAAGAATGGAATAGAACTGAAATATTATAGTAATTATTTATTTCGGCTTTACTCGGAATTGCCCCACTAGTTTCGAACTTAATACAAGCCCTTATACATAAAAGTGCAATTAATAGAATAACTACACAAATAGCCACTGCCAATAGTTGCCACGTTTGGCAGGCGGATTGGCAACCGCAGGCAGGCGGTTCTTACGACACTTAAGGGATAAGAAGGGGTGGGTGTCGTAAGAGGTGACTAAGGTAGGGCGAGGGATTGGTAGCAGCGTCCCTCTTAAAACATTTTCAAAACCTAACTGCGGTTGCCAATCTACTTGCCAAGCATGGAAACTACTGGTAAAACCACCTAAGGAGGCTTATGTTCCACGTTGGACAGTTAAACGCTAATATGACGATGACACCATATCTCGGTCACTAAAGCCAAGTAGCTTGAGAGAGTTTTAAAATATTTTTTCGACTATTCCATATAATATTTTATGTCAACGATCATAATAAAGCAACGTTCTAGTTCATTAATTATTTACCAAAGTTTATAACTTGAGATTTTGCCAACAGACCGTATCCCGATTCAGATAATAAAGACAGATTTAACATTTTCCAAATTAAGCGACTCGATTATAATTTGAAACAAAGTTGTGTGCATTGTTCGTGCTTAGTTTGTATTAGAAAATTACGTGTCCAATCAAATAACGAATAGACATCAAACGTCTTTGTTCATGCAGTTAAGTTTGTTACAGATAACGTCTTAAGTTTAACTGAAATTTAAACTTAATTTTAATTTAAAATTGTAAGTTCAAGCTTAGTATAGATAAAAGAAAATCAATGCATATTATAATAAAATTGTAACTGATCTCTGTCTGTATTGCACCAAGTAAAAAGAGAAATAACAAATACAGTAAATATTAATGAGAAGTGATACAAAAGGCGGCCTTATCGCTAAGCAATCTCTTCCAGACAACCTTTGGGCAGAGGACATTGAGAAAAAGACAAAGGGTAGGTGGCGCAATATTATATAAATATTGTCATATACAAACATATATAGATACATACATACATACACATACATACATATATATATATACACATACATACACATACTTAACAGCACACATACAACAGAAAAAAATGACGAAGGAAAACGAAGAGAGAACACAGGAAAATAGTATTAAAGTAAGAGATAGTAAGATTTTGAATGCTGTTTTCACTAATGTGTTGCAGTTGCTCTACTTAACATTTAGTGATTGTTTTATTTCAATCGGTTCATAGAAGAAGAAGAAGAAGAAATCATCATTTATTCAAATAAACTTACATTGAAGCACTTTTGAAAAGTCATTACATTTTTTTTAATCTACCGCTCGTTCGGAAAGCTGTCTCATCACAAGAAGAACGAGCAAGAAACTTGCGTGTTGCTCTTTTAAATAATTTTATTATTACTTTACATTTTTAAGTTTAAGTGTGTGAATACAAACCACCAATTAGCACTAATTCAATTAAATACTCAAAAAGAAAAAATATTGAATACATAACCAACTGGTTAAACAATTAATAAGAGGAAATCAGTCATAGTGATTAGAGCAGACCAGTCCCTACAAGCAGCACCCATAAATAAAAAAGTTATATCAATCTAAACAATCACATATGAAATGCTATAAAATAACCGATCAGTTGAATTGACTGAAACTTTATGAAGGTATTAGGTATGTAATTATCATTTAAGTATATAATACAATATGAGACCGGATTCATGAAGGGTTCCAATGGGAATAATATACGGGAATTACATAGAAGCGGGCAAATGCCGCGGGAAACGGCTAGTAATTAAATAAGAATCTAATGTCTTTACTCATATGAAAAAGAGTAATCATGATTGTCAAAATATGAAGCCCAAATTGTCTATTATTTTTTAAAAACTATTTTAAAAATTTTCTTATAATAAATAGACTAAATATTCATTATTAAAAAAAAATGCATTGCTGGGAATCAGTGGATGCAGATGGCTTAGGACCGTTCTTTATGGCAGTCTATAGGGGAGGCTTATGTCCAGCACTGGACGGATAATGGCTGAAATGATGATGATGATGATGTAATGAATTTTAAATCGTATTAATTACATTTATTTATATTTAATATTTTATGAGATAATTTAATAAAAATAAATATTAATTGCCAAATATATAGAACGTATCAATTTAGAAAAGTTGCAGGCTTATCTTCGATAATGGACAATTAAAAGCTGATATGATGATATAAATTAGAAACACATTGTATATGTTAACAGAACAAAGCTTTTTTTTTATACCACTGAGGTGGCAAACAAGCATACGGCCCACCTGACGGTAAGTGGTTACCGTAGCCTATGAACACCTGCAATATCAGAGGTATCACGCGTGCGTTGCCGACCCTGAAAAACCTCTTTACCCCCCTTTTAAAGAACCCCATGCTGTAGTCTCTTGGGAAAACCTCAGCAGAGAGCTCATTCCACAACCTGAGCGTTCGTGGGAGGAAACATCTCTGAAACCTTGATTAAAATTTGTTACTTTGTTTCATAAGTCAATCTTTAGTTTAAGTTGTGACATTGTTTCTAATAGACTCATCTACTTGAACTGAGATATTTGACTCTGATTTGGTCATGATTTGCTCATCAACACTAAGCTTGAAAATAATACGATAGGTTTAACTTTTTACCAAAGGGAGACTTTGTACAAAAGTCGATTGCTTGGGCACCTCTGTCTCATTCGTCTTTCAACCGTGAAGCAGTTGTGTTTGCATGGTTGTGTTTCGGTTTGAAGGGTGGGATATGGCAGTTAAGCTGTAAGGCTGCAGTGGCAGTAAAGCTGCAATGCATTTCAGGTCGTCACTTCATCTAGTGGGGGGTCGTCCTACACTGCGTTTACTCGTACGCGATAGCCACTCAAGAACCTTTCTTCCCCTCATTACTCTCAAAACTCATTACATAATTACATAAAAAGTCTGTTTTGTTCAAACATTTGTATAAAGACATTATATAGATATTTGTAGTCCGCTATTTTATCATAAATTAATTTTTATATATCGTAATTTTAACACATATAGTTAACAGAATAGTCGTAGAAGGTCCTATACTTTATTGCATTATATTAAAGTTCAAATTTAAATAATATGCTAAGCTACTTTCGCAGCTGACTGTACAATATTAATAAGACCGTTACAACTTGTTGTTTTGTTCGAATAAATATTTTCCTGCCCTCTTCGTGAGAGGACTCGTTGTAGGGTTACCAACTTACCGATGCATTATTTTTTAAATATTTCATAATATTTCTAAATTTAAGACTAATAAGAACTATTTTTTATGCGTGTATAAAGAGAAAAAATATTTATTGAATTAATAAACAAACAAAACATATAATTTATATGAATAAAACATAACTTTATTTATTGTTATTGACCCGAATATAAAACAGTCAACCCTTGCCAACCGTCAAAGTCGTCCGCCATTTTGATTTACGCGAGTTGCCCGCCATTATTTTTTTTATTGCCTATAATCATTCACATAGGCGAGTCACGGTCGTAGAAGGCCCTATAAAATCTTTTATATGTCCAATATTCTTTGGAATTTTGCATGGTATAGGTAAAGTCAGCAGCAGATTTTTTTTTACTACTCAGGGGATAAACGAAGCGGCTCACCTGATGGTAAGCTACCGTCGCCTATGATCACCCACAACACCAACGGCATTGCAGGTGCGCTGCCGGCCTTTTAAAAAGGAAAATGCTCTTTTCTCGAAGGTTATTATGTTGTATCGGTTTGGAAATACTACTGCTGGAAGTTGATTCCAAAGAGTGGTTTGAAATGAAAATTCTACGTTTACAGAAAAAAAACCGACTTCAATCGTGACAAAACTTATTTAAAATAAAATCACTGAATCGATTTCGATAAAATTTATATAGAACCTTTCTGATAGTGTATCCTTCCAAATAAAAAAGAATTCAGTTTATAAATGACAGAGTTGTGAGGTAACAAAAATAAAAAAAAAAACACAACCGTCTTAAAAACCTTCTCATTTTTGGAAGTCGGTTGAAAAAATATAGATAATTTGCTAATTATTTTCTCATAATCATATCAGTCGTTAAATGTCTGTTGCTGAACTTAGGCCCTCCCCATAAGAAGGGGTTTTGCCAATAGTTGTCATGCTTGGCGGGAGTAAAGAGTGGGATAAGGCAGTTTAAACTATAGAGTATGGAGACATTATAGCAAAGCCCAGAAAGTGCCACGTTTGAGTGATAATGCTATAGAAACTATATTAAAAACTTTTAATTAGTTTATTTATTTATTTATAAATTACTCATTACACTTACAGTCTTCCAAAACGTATAGTGAGCAATAGGTTTATTTTACAAACTTAAAAATTTTAAACAACATTTTACAAATATATCCATTTTTATTTTTAAAAATTGACAATTATCACAATATCGCCATACTTCGTTATGAATTCCTTTAAACACAGTTACGTGCAGCTGCTTCACGACAGAAACAGAGTGGGACAAAGGTACCCATGCAGACGACTCTCTTGTATGATGTCATTTATATACAATAAAGTTTTCAATATTTGTAATTTTTTACCAGAGGAAGACTTTGTACAAAAGTCGATTGCCGTCCGTCAGTTTGTTTGCGATTCTAAGTTGTATAAAAAAAATAGCTACAACATCTGTAAAGGCTCTTACATCGCGTTAAGTCCCAACTTTGTTTAAAAAAACATAGTGATTACTTTGTAATGAAACTCCTACTTTCTTAATTAAGTAATTGAGTTCCGATTTATAGGTTTTAACTCCATAATTTTCATTAATTATGATTGTATATACCTTAACGATATCTAGTTAACTTTATCTCCTGTCCACGCAAAAGTTGCACGTTCGTATAATTCGTGCAAAACAGCGGCGTGCCGAAGATTTATAGTGGAGAAATTGTTTCCCGCACACTGGAAATGGTTACGTTTAATATTTGCCGAGGAAATATTGCGACTGTGAAAAAAATTCACTTACAACAATATCATAGTGTTTTACTAACATTTTCCTGTTGCGGAACTCGGCGGGACCGAAATTAAGAAATGCTTGTAGTTCTTGGACAGGTGAATGTGTTTTATTTATGATAAACAGCTTTATTGAATTACATTCTTTGCGTAGTGACTGTTGCCAGCAGCAAAATGTATATTTTTTTAATATACTTTTAAAATTTTTTCAAATTGTAACGCCACCTGGTATTGTAATATGGAATTATTGTTGTGATAGTGTCAGTTTTTTTTTTATACAACTTAGAATGGCAAACAAGCTGACGGCCGACGGAAGCTGAATATGGCGTGAATTTACTGAGTACAGAGGAATAACACCTGAGTCCTCAGGAATGGCAACGCATGGGGGGTATCATGGGCGAAACAGTGTACTCTGTTATGTCCATGGTACTGCTCATGTCTATAGGCGACGGTTACCACTTTCCAACAGGTGGGCCGTCACCTTGTTTGCCATTCTTGCATATTCATATATATATATATATATATATATATATATATATATATATATATATATATATATATATATATATATATATATATATATATATATATATATATATAATAAGAGCCCGTATTGTATACCGATAACGCTTGAACGCGATTGAACGGCGTTACCATTCAATTATCATCAATTAAGAATCTCAGAATAAATCCCAAACAATTTGAATATTAATACATAAAATAAGTTTGTCTTTGACCCAGTTGCAGTTATATAGCACTTGTATTGTGACGATAATGATCTTTCCATGTTATCCTGGATTATGCAAGTTCTCCATCTTAATTAATCAGATTCAACAGACGCACCTTTGTGATTTGCATCAACTGTACTGTATTGTGCTTACTAACTGTTAAACTTTCGCATTGCATGGCTTACGCTTGATAAGAGACGGGAGTTAACGTGATCATTTAGTTAATATAGATTAGAAATAATCTTTATTCAAACAGACAATAATATTAAAAAACTTTTTTTTTTTATACAACTTAGAATGGCAAACAAGGTGACGGCCCATCTGATGTAAAGTGGTAACCGTCGCATATAGACATTAGCAGTACCATGGACATAACAGAGTACACTGTTTCGCCCATGATACCCCCTATGCGTTGCCATTCCTGAGGACTCAGGTGTTATTCCTCTGTACCCAGTAAAGTCACGCCATATCCCACCCTTCAAACCGAAACACAGCCATGCAAACACAACTGCTTCACGGTTGAAACACGAATGGGACAGAGGTACCCAAGCAATCGACTTTTGTAAAGTCTCCCTCTGGTAAAATTATTCGAGTAAAGTTAATAAAAAGCATTTTTGAATAGTCACTTTTTTTTATAAATCTACCGCCCAGTTCGGAATGCAATGCAATGTCTAAACATAGAAGCTAGTTCACCATCTTGACGAGTGGCGATCCTCCACCGTGCGTGCCTTGAAAACAAGGCACTTTCTTCAACGCACAACCACTCTTTGGAATCAACTTCCAGCAGCAGTATTTGTAAACCGATACGACATCATAACCTTCAAGAAAAGAGCATATTCCTTTTTAAAAGGCCGGCAGCACACCTGTTGAAAACTGCGATAATTATGATGCAAATACGGCTAAACTATTATATATTTATAAGGACGACGAGATAAATAAAATACATATTATGTTTTCAGCATCTATTTTACTAAATTTTAATAGAATCTACAGAATGCATTATATTTTTAATAGTAAAAAAGTAAGTAAAAAAGTGGCCAGTACGTGCAATAATAAAAAGAGTTCATTCTTACATATTAAATTTAATCAGCAGGACACCTGCAATGCCTCTGGTGTTGTGGGTGATCATGGGCGGCGGTAGTCACTTACCATCAGGTGAGCCGCATGCTCGTTTGCCCCTGTGTTGAAAAAAAAGTTCTGAAAAATAGTAAACGGAAGAGGTTCTTTATTCGACTGTATTTTTTATGTTAGTTACGACAGAACTCCGTCGGTTACGAAGCGATTGGGAAAAGTATTTTTTTATCTATTTTTTTTTTAATAATTAAAATCTAAACGAATATTTAATACTTTTAGAAATATTATATTTTATTATATGAAATTTGCCAGTAGTTGGCATGCTTGGCAGGCAGGTTGGCAACCGCAGTTAGGCTTTGTTTATGTTTTAGGAGAAACCATCCATCTTTCACTATCAGGTTTTTTTTAATAAGTGATAATGGAATGGTAACCCTACCCGCGCTATCGGTGTACACCGGCGAGGCACCAGTGAAGGATGATAGGTGAGGATGAAGTAAGTCAGTTAGCCCATCGTGACGAATTCAACAAGAATTGTTCACAATGGTTTCCAGGGGGAACCACGTAGAGGTTGATCTATTAGGGCATATTGCTAGCAATGGGGATGTCAAACGTCATTGTTAACAATTCCTTTCCCCCCTTACTTTCAAGTTAGTCCCATAGACATTATAATTTCATCAAAATATCGAAGTTTCAGTAATTTGAGTTTTAAATTAATATAAATGTTTTTGCTAAAATTAAAGTCGGTATATTTTTTTGATGGTGAAACCTATTAACATGATACTGTGCCTAAAATAACATTTATTTATTGGTCATTTAAAAGCCCGCATTTGATAGATAAACATTAAGCACGTTTGAATAATAATTCACCTTGGTTATTTTAACGTTTCGATCAGTTTGGATTGCATTAAATTTTCGACCAGGAAAACCGTTTCAAACCCTCCTCAAAAACTCATTAATTTATATTTATTTAAATAATGTTATTGACCAAAAGAAAATATACCATACATCAAAAGGTGGATTTAATGCTAGTAGCATTTTCTACCAGTCAAGCTTTGGGATGAACAGTGGATCTCGAACGTGGTTCATTATTGGGATAGATAAAGAAAATAATAATCAATAATGTATACTAAAAATCATTATATACTTTTTTTTACGCAACTTAGAATGGCAAACAAGCTGACAGCCCACCTGATGAAAAGTGGTAACCGTCGTCTATAGACATAAGCAGTACCATGGACATAACAGAGTATATTGTTTCGCCCATCCGTTGCCATTCCTGAGGACTCAGATGTTATTCCTATGTACGCTGTAAATTCACGCCATATCCCACCCTTCAAACCCAACTGCTTTACGGTTGAAACACGAATGGGGCAGAGGTACCCAAGCAAACGACTTTTGTACAAAGTCTCCCTAAAGTAATAGAAAAAACATTGCCTCGCTATTATGTGCAGCTAGTAAATGCATTAAATAAAAACACTGTCAGTTATGTGATCACGGTCATTTATATACAATCCGTATGATGTATGACAATGAATGGGTAAAAGAAAACACTACTGCCTTGAGATCAACGGCAGGGCATTGCTACTTGGGGCTGCTAGATGCAAATTTTTATTTTTACCAAAGTGTTATAATTTTCTCATCAAATTGAAACGATTTTGTTTTTATTGAATAAAATCAATTAATTATAAGCTTGTGTCAGTTTTCACTACGTTCCGTCATGTAACCACTACACGAACGACGAAAAAAATAGGGTTTCTTCACCTCATGGGTACTTCAAAGTTCATTCAAGTACCTTCATTAGTAGGGTACATTCTATTTAATTTATATACTAAAACTGTTAAAAAAATATATCAAAATTTCTCCA